TCTTATCTTTTATTATTATTTATTTATTTATTAAAAAAATGGGCCCAAATTTCGGGCCCAATCGAGCTTAGGTCTTCAACCTATGTTTAGGTTCTGTCAAGTCTTCTTAACTAAAGCCCAATTTCTTTAATTTTTTTTCCTATTATTTAGCTGTATACTATTATTATGAGATGATTTATTGGAGTTTATTTTCATTGAACAGCTCTACACAGCAAGTACTGTGCTTTTAGTATTGCAGGGTATCTACTATGATTATATACGCCGATGGTGGGACAGTAGAAAGATGAGAGAAAATAAAAAGGTAATCTTTGGTTAATTATAAGATGAAAGAAGTGTTTTGTAGTTGGAAATGCAGGGATTACAAAACCTTAACCTTGTAATTAGCTAAGAGCAGGTCTCACTCATCATGGAGCTGAAGTTTTTGTAGTCCATCAATCTGAGTTGCAATTAAAGATAAGCAAGCATAAAATCATCTTGTTTCATTAATAATGTTTTTTTTTTTTTAATGTTAGACTGAAGATGATCAGAAAAAGCCTTTAAAATCCAACACAGGGGATGCAGGGATTCCCATACCTACGGCCTCACCAAAAACCACTCCTCGCCAGGAGTTTTTTTATACGTATGTACTTGATCTTTTTCTACTATTTAGATAGTTATTTTGGTGTAACAAAGCTTGAATTACAAGGCCTTGCATTGTTTTCAGGTCGGCAAGATCTTTGGCTGGGAGTGGCACACCACCATTTCGAACGTATATGTGGGTAGCTAAAAGTGGACCTTCATCCATGATGGCAATTCACAGTGATTCATCATCAGATGATGAAGGAGAAACAGCCCTTGTTTCATCCAAGAAGCCAGCAGCTAGCCTGCCTAGGCCAATTCCGAGATCAGTGAGTTGAACTACTGCATTAGAAAGTAACTTAATTCTAACTTAAACAATGTAATTAAAATCTGAAATTGAACGCTTTCAGGCTGTAAGTTATGGTACATTTCTAGCTGCATCTGTCACTCTGCCGCGAAAGAGCAACGGTCTTAGTGAAACATTTGCAGGATTTACTGGAAGAAGATTGTTACAGGTACCACTAGTGATGGATTAATGCTAATTGTAAGAAATTGAGCAATGTTTGTGTCTGAAAATGCTAACTGTTACGTCTGTGAAGCTGGAACTTGGGTATGGGACAGAGCACAGTGCCTTTGGGCAGTGGTTGGGATGGCTGATGGCTCTTATATACATGGGGGGACGAATCCCTCAAATCTGGTTAAATGTAAGTAGCTTATATGCACGTTACAGGGTCTTAAATACATTTCTTTAGTTCTTATGGTTTCTGATCAAAGTTACTGGTTTCATTATTGACCAGATTAAAAGAGGAAGCGTGGAGGTAAATTACTAATAATCCAAATTACCTTACATAACATTCACTTCAAATCATAACTTAATTGCTTGCTGAATAATTCAGATGTTCTTTGAACATGTTTAGGGTCTGAATCCTCTAATGTTCATCTTTGCACTAGTAGCCAATGCCACATATGTGCTAAGGTACTAAGCTCTTCTCTCCTTAAGATATATAAAATCTTGCATTGAAATACTGGACTGACCCTGAAAGGACTTACTATCTCAAATGCAGTATTGTTGTGAGAACCACAGAATGGGAAAGTATCAAACCTAATATGCCATGGTTGCTTGATGCTTTAGTCTGCGTAGCACTCGACTTTTTTGTATCCTTTTTGCGCTAGATCTGATTCTTCTTTTTCTAATCTTGATCAATTTATAGTCACTGTTGAATTGGTTTCGTTGAAAAACCTTAACGTTCTTCCTGGCAGATCATAATGCAATATGTTTATTACCGATGCTTTAGAAAGAAAGGTGCGGGGAATGGAGAAGACTATGGAGACTACACAGAGGCAGGTAAAGAAACTGTCCCCTGATCATATAAGGGGGTGCAGTACCTTTGCAAGAATACTTCCAATAAGTACGTTTTAAGTGTAAAATTAAGGTTAAGGAGTTGTTTCATCTATTAAATTTGGCAATCTTTTGGCTTTTCATTTTCTTTTGTATTATCGTGATATAATCACTTTTTTTTTTTTTTTGGCTAAAAGAAAAGCCCCAATACTGGAGATATCTATCCCCTTCGTAAGATTAGGATGTGTTTGATTAGAAGTAAACTTTTTTGGTGAAGTTTTTATTAAATAAGTGATTGAAAAATTATAAAAAATTAAAAAGTATTGTACAAAAAATTATTAAGTTTTATAATGAAGTTATATTGAAATTTTGTTGAGTTATTAATTTTATTTTGTTTGATAAAAAAATTAATATACAAAAAATTATTAAGTGAATTTAATATTAAGAAATTTATTTAAAAAAAAAAAACCCTTTGGTTAGAATACCAAAATATTTTTACATAATCTTAGAAAGAGAAATTTCATGGGAAAGTAAACTGGTCAACCAAACACCCACTAAGTTCAGAATAGGCCCAATGTTTTTTCGGTCAAGGAAGGCCCATTGTTTATGCCTATTTGTTGGGCCCAGCCGAATAAAAAGAAGTAAAGGCGAATAGGCAACCCCTTTGTTCAATAAACCCATTGGATTTTCTATTAAAAGACACTAATTTTGACTTCAACTCGTGTTTGGTGCAAGCCTACAACTATAATTAGATTGGGATTACCTTTAATGTGTTCTTGGTTTTGGATTTTAGTTTTTTTTTTTTATATTTAATAATTTTATATATAATATGGTTTTGAATTTGAATTTTTATATATTTAGTAATTATTATTATATTTAAATTTAATTTAATATATTTAAATTTTTATAATAAATTTTAAGTTCTAAATATAGTAAAAATTATTAAATATATAAGAAATGTGAACTCAAAAATTAAAATTAAAACTACATTAAACGGAGTTTAAATAAATAAAACATTAAATTTAAATATTTTTTAATTTTTTAATTTTGGTATTGGACAAAAAATTTTGAATATATATTTCTTGTAAATAAAAACATGAATTTTATTAATTGAGTTACAAATTTTCAAAAATATATATCTTCTTCTAAATTGTGTGCATTAGTCATTACCAATCCACGGATGCCCTAAATCTACATCTCAAATAAAGGATAGGGATAAATCCATCTCTAAAAAAAAATGTAAAGATAAATGATATATTCAAATTATAAATCGAGATAAATTATTCATTTTTTAACATATAATGTTAACTTTTTATTAAAAAATATTGATGTGTTAAATAAAATTTTAACGTCACATATTAAAAAATAAATAATTTGTCTTGATTTATAACTTATAAGGGTAATTTATTCCTCTATTTTTTTGAAGAGTAGATTTAGGGCTGTCTTACCGATCCAAGGACAAATTTTCTAATCTGAATAAAGCCACAAAATCATTGCTAACCGGAGTTTATACTTATGCTTATGCAACACTATGTGTTTCGAGAAGGCAGCAAAACCAAAAGATAATGAATATTCAATTCTACATTAAGAGGCCCCGGGCTTACTAAACTAGTCGTCATGAAATGTGGTAAATTACCATAAACAATCATTAAATTTGGTCAAAGCATGAAAGTTATGCTTGGCTTTGGCCAGACAATATACCAGGAAAAGAAATGGGATTTTTTTTTTTGACCCAAAAAAAGGGGTAGACGGACACATAAAGCTAAAGTCATTTATTGATTTGAAGGACACATTTAAAAAAAGTTTCCAATTGAAAAATAGAAACTGGAGCAAGTACTAAATAAGAGTAATAATCACTGGAGTACTTACTGTACTTTTTTTCGTTTTACTCCTGGTAATAATTTCCTTTCCTTAATTAGTTTAATGAGACCAAACAATCTACTAATTTGAGTTGATGAAATTTAATTTTTCTTAAAAAAAATTTTTAATTCAAATTTTACAAACAGATAAATAATAATTAAGGGAATTTTTTTATGGGAATTTATTTCATTTAATTTTAAATTAATTAAATTTAATGTAATTTTTAAATACAAAAAATTTAATAAAAAATAGTTTAATGAGAACATTATGGTGTAATTCCTGCAGTATAAACTGCATTATTTTTAATTATCTGTAAAGTGTTCAGACTTAAATATTAAAAAATTTAATTTTTTTAATAATTAAATAAAATATAATTCATGCAATATGATACTTTATTTATTTATAATTTATTTATCTTATTCCAAAAAAATCAGTAAATTATGACGTACGTAATCCACGTGCGCGGAGTGGAATTCAATTGTCTTTTGAACGTATAACAAGCTTTTGTAGAAAGAGATGATCTCAATATACAGTGCATTCACTTCTGAGTTATGGCATAAATATATATATATATATTTATTTATTTATATGAATGAAGAAGAATAATTAATTCACATATAAAATTTATATATTATATTTATATAAAATTTTAATTTTTTATTTTTTATTATTAAAAATAATTATTTTTATTTAAAAATTATAATAAATTTTAGTTATTAAAAATAATTAATTAATTAAATTTTTATATAAATATGATCTATAAAATTTATATACATAAGTGATTACTTTTCATTTATATATAATGCATCCAAATTTAGTAAAATATTTTGGGAAATTCATTATTATGAATTAGATGAGAATGCTGGAAAACAAAAAGATGAAATTAACAAGCATAATATATAATAAGATGAGAAACAAAGGATTCGATGGTCTCTAAATCTTCAATTTTTGGTTCCATTTCTTTTTTCACATCCCTAATTATATATCATACACATATATAACTATTGACTAGGGATCAATTTATATCAATACAATTAATTTTAAGAAACTCTTATATTAAATTTTAGCCATATATTTTAAAATTAAAAAATATATATTTTGATTATTCAAATATTACATTAATTATTAAAATTTTGAAATAAGTAGTTAAAAATTCACATAACAGTACACCACTGTATATTGATTCAAACTCTATACAAATATATGGTACCATAGATTTAACGGCTACAAGTGTTAACTTTAGTGCTGTATTACGTATCTCAACACCACCCAATCTTAGATCTAAAAATCTAAGATTTATTCTTGAAATATAAATATATATATATATATATTTTTTTTGTGTAAAAAAGTTAGTACGTACCTAAGTATTGCAGAGACTTAATTGATCCAGTAAAACATAAGGTAAATCTAACTTCTAAGCTTCAAAAGCATAGGGTGTTTGAAGCAGATCATAACGAGCCCATAAAGCATCCAACGGGCAGGCTCGGTTTGTGTCCAGTCTCATCCATGGCTTCCCTTTCCCGCTCCAGTGCAACAAACTTACCGGACCAGGATGCAAATTCCGGCACAACCCCCTATAATTGTCCCCTCCTAGCCCGTGCTGGTTCCATCTGTGATCAACCGGTGCTATATTCCCCGCAAAAACTAGTAAGAACGGCGGCAGGCTCCCCAGCTCGTAGATCCTCATTCTCTTTTGCAGCTCCATCCACTCCACTATCTTCGTCGTGTATTCACCGTCGCGCCACCGTTCCAAATCTATTACCATAACACCGGTGTTGAAGTAACACGCATTTCGTCCGGCGAAGGTTAGTGACAGAGTGGGGTTTGCCCAAAATGTGGGAGTGAAGTACGAGGTGAAGTTGGCGTTGCAGTACTCTGGGGCGGCGAGGACAGCGTGGTCGCCGAGTGGGGTGGCCGCCAGCTTGGAAATGTCGTCAACGAGGACGAGATCGGAGTCTAGGTAGACGATGCGGTGGATGCAGAGCGGGAGGAGGTCGGCAAGGTAGTTGCGGGCGTAGTTGAGAGGGCAGTCGAGGGCGGAGCGGATGGAGGTGGAGATGTGGCCGGAAACGGTAGTGTGGTCGAAGGGGTAGATTTGGAATTTGAGTGAGGGAAAGGAGTTAAAAATGGTGAGGAGGAGGTGGTGGTGGTTCGTGGAGGAGATGAAGTGAAAGCGGAGGTTTTGAGGGCAGGAGGCATGTTGGAGGACGGAGTGAATGGCGGCCATTGAGCCGCGGAGGTAGGCGGCGTCGAGAGTCATTGCCACATGGATGGCAAGATCGGAGCACATGTCATTGATGTTACCACTATTTAGGGAAGGACAGGCAGGGGAGTTGTAGAATTGTGGGGATTCTTTGAATTTTTGCGTGGTGGTTGATGAGCTTGCATTTATGGCGGAGATGAGGAGGAAAGGGAGGAGGAAGAGGAGTAACAAGTGGGGATGTGGTGGGTGTGACGGTGGTGCAAGCTGAGGCATTTTGTTGGTGATGAGATGAGAAGGGATGGGGAGATGCAGAAAGCTTTAATCTTTTAGAGCTTCGAGGCAGACAGGCTCAAAGCTATGGATGGTTTTTTTTTTTTTTTCTCAATTAGACTTTGAGCCCACAATTTTCGTTTAAAGGGCTACAGGGTGGGAAGGAGGGTCAAGAGATTTGAAGTTTGAGCACTACTGCTCTAAAAAAGTAAGCCCTCATTGATCTCTTTATAATACGTATTTGGAATTACGTATTATCTCTCTCTTCATGTGGCCTTAAATATGGAGTTCCCTAAACCAATTTATTCCTTTGTAATTTTTCTTTTGGATGCTAAGGAAAACTCATTTTCATCCCCCATTAAAAATGTAGAAGGTAACTTCTAAGTAATCATGATATTTTCTTAAGATGGGCCAAAAACTTGGCTTTAACTTGAACCCTTGTGTCTTGCCTTGACGAGCAGCGATCACTTCTTGCCATTGGCCCATGGGGACAATTCTTTCTTGATTTTCTTAGATATTTTGAGCAAATTTTAGTTACTAGATTAAAATATAAGGCATTAGATCTACTTGGATTTTGACGGACACACCAAGTCTCATTATACTATGTTTGTGGATTTTTACAAGGTACGCCTGAGGATGATTACTATTGTGTAATGAAGTTGAATTGTTCATTAAAATGAAACTTCAAATCCAACAATACATATGATCTCTCTGCAACTTGAGTAATTAAGACATCTACCTCAAGGAAAGCTCCAACAGAGCATCTTACCTTCAATCAACTTTACAGGAACAATATACGGAAGCATCACCAGCCAAAATAAAAATGAAGTGTTTTACTTTTATTTTTTTTTTTTTACTTTGAAAATATGACTCAAATTTCATATCTCTAAATTGTATATATAACAAATTTAAAAAAAAAAAATCATTAGATCATAAAAGATATTCTCATGTTTTACTTTGAGATGCATGAGCACCTGAAAATTAATTACTTTGTCTACCCCAAGGAAAGCTCCAACAGAACATCTTACTTTCAATCAACTTTACAGGAACAATATGCAGAAGCATCAGCTGCCAAAATAAAAATGAAGTGTTTTTACTTTTATTTTTTAAAAAACTTTGAAAATATGATTCAAATTTCACAACTCTAAATTATATATATAACAAATTCTTTAAAAAAAAAGCCATTAAATCATAAAGATATTCTCATGTTTTACTTTTAGATGTATGAGCACCTGAAAATTGATTACTTTGTCTACTGTCTGCAAGTCGAATAAGACATGACCCAAATTTGCTGGCGTGATCAATTAGAATTACCCGCCTTTTAATAGGTGCGTAGCTACAATTTCAATGTCCCAATTCTAATTTAGCAGTCTCAGTTCAGCAGATCTTATGTGGTCCTTTGGGACTTGGATAATTGATAGTCACACATATAATATTAAAAAATAACATTATCAGGGAATTAGTATGTATGGTCCTAGTAATATTTTATGTAGTGATTTTTTTTAATTAAGGACATGCATTCAATTTCTGGTTATCAGCACTAAGCCTTTCGCCACTTTTTTTTTTGGTAACATGGGGACATTTTGGAGGAAGGGATTTTTTTTTTAAGTTATTGATAGGAATCAAATTCTTAATCAATTAAATTTAAAATTTTAAAGTTTAAAAATGAATTATTGAACAAAAAACTCAAGTAAAGCTTTTTGTTACTGTTTAAGAAAAGGGAAAAAAGGATTTATTTGATGCAGTTTATTAGAACTTTTACTTTTTTTTTGTACTGTTTATGAGTGATAAATTTAAATTTTTATTGAAGAAAAAATTTAAAAATTATTTTTAAAAATAAAAAAATGAGTAAATAAAATAAATAAAAAAATTTATAAAAAGTAAAAATTTAAAATTTTTAAAAATTTATTATTTAAAATTTTTTTAAGATTTAAAACTATTTAAAAATATAAATTTTTTTAAAAAAACTTAAATTTATAAAATATAAATGATAACAGAAAGCACTTAAAAAACTATACCGAAGAAACCGAAGTATCATAGGCTAGGCCAAAGTCAACAAACGGAAAACCACACATATCTCACAAGTAATTACAATCCCGAAAATTACGACCCAAGAAACAGGTCATCTCACCAGACTCCCTGAATGTACGGCCGGATTGTCCGCAAGCCTTTTTCCTTTTTTACTCGCCCTTTACACTTGCATGAATGAACTGATGATGGAGTGACGAGTTGAAGAACCACTTAATTGACGGGACAGAAAACAACAAAATCATAATATCACGGGCAAAATTTTAAATGAAAAAAACGTAGTTACTGTATAACGTAATAATTATACTTATAATATCATAGCTATATTATTCTCAAAAACCAAACAACAGTTGCCACGTATCTAATTTGCTGGCCCCTATAGCATGCCACATGAACAAGGAGAGGTTAAGTCTGGGCTCCATCCGTTAAAATGGTCTCGACTCTTTTTGAGTACAATTGACAAGATTAGGACATGATAACTATAAATTGGTAGCAAGTCTTCTCCATCATTTCATGTATCTCCCTTGATTTTCTTTCATGTGACCCAAACAAAACCAAAAATGGCATGTAGTTTTTCTCACTAAATGAGTTACGTTCCATCTTCCCTCCGTTGGAGAAAATGAAATCAAGACTACCTTTATATGAAAGGATATGAGGAATTGATGTTAAAGTAATGCAAACAAGATGAGAAAAAAGAGGAATTGAATGAAGCATGCATTTGATTGAGCAGCGTGTGCAGCTCACATGCATTATGTTTCACAAGTTCTAAGTTTTATTATTAAGGGTTTTTTATTTTGTAAGTTGAATTATATTATATTACAAAATTAACACTCTTAAATTAAGAAAAGAAGGTTTAATATTAAAAAAAAATTTCAAAAAATTATTATTTTACAATTCAATATAGTTGACATTGTAAAATAATTTTTTATATTATTATTAAGGAAAAAAAGTATTCTAACAAAGTGTTTCAATAAGTTTAAAATTTTAAAATAAATAAAAATAAAAATTTAAAAGAACTATCTTCTCATTTCTTATTATAATATTTATCATTTAAGATATATATATATATATATATATAAGCAAAGGAAGGAGAATAGTTTGCTCCATTATTCATGGAGGAAATTGATAGCCAAGTAGAGGCAGCAGCAGCATGTTCTTAAAGCAGCTTCACAATTATTAGGTCTCCCTTCTTTTTACCTTTCCGTTTTTTACATTCCCCCTCCATACGAGGAAAAAAGTTAAACTGACATACAAGGCCTTTCAATCTTCACTAGAAACTGTCGGCCCTATAATATCTTTCCTTATTTACTTTTTTGTACGGTGGATTCTAACGTTGACAATGGTCCTCGTCCGTCCCTCTCCTCTCCTCTCCTCTCCTCTCCTTCACGACACTGTTTTTACCGACACACGAGAGTGGTGAAGGGCCCCAATAGAGAAGTCAGCAATGGCTGCAATGCCAGTGTCTCTCTCGACCTTCTCCGCTTGCATGGTTAAATTGTTTGGCGGTCTACCTGTTTTTGAATTTAGCTTAGTTTAATTGTTTAAATAGTTAAAGAGTAATATGTCATGCGTATGACACGAATATAATGCATGACCTATAAAGAAATCCCATTGGCTCATTGTTCAAATAGTTAAAGAATAATAATTATATATATATATATATATATTATGGGTTAGAGTTTTCAAAGCAAGATAAATGAAGGAGGAAATTAAGAGAAAGAAGGGAGTAAGATAAAAGGAGGAATGAAGGAATTCTTTTATCGGAGGGAAATTTTTGGAAAGAAAACTTGTTACGATTGTCCTCAACCTTAAAAGTATAAGTATTGTACGAGAAAAATCCTAAAGAGATCAAAATCTAATAATAATTATATTTAAGTATTGATTAGTCGATAATTATTATTTGTAAATTAAATATTTTCTAACAACCAGACCAAATACGGCTTTAGTTCCATGAGCTTAAATTGACCCACTTTGTTGGTGTCATCCACCAAACAATGGAGAAAGAAAAATGGCATTCAACTGAATGCAAACAAAGTTCAGTACTGGTTTTCGGAGTTATTCTTGGATATTCAATCAATACCAAATTACCAACTGCAGGGTGGTCAATGGAAATGCAATAAATTATGAACGGCCCACTGATTTTAATCCCTGAAAAGCATACAAATCAGAGAAATTGTACATTCTATGGATATACATATCTCAAATTGAAAGTCAAGGTAATAAATAATACAGTACAAGCGTCATTCACAGCACGGCAATCGCAAAAAACCTGACACGGTAGGTTTTCTGGAGGCACGAGGTTAGATATGTATTTATGTCGAAGGCTTAGTCAAAAATCCCATATGAACACCATAAAAAAGATCATAGCGTTCGGATTCTTGTTGGAGACATGTGGCCTGACGTGAAGACATTTAATATTTCATTATATGTATTGATATTACATTAAAATTAATTTAATAATTATATAAATTTTAACATATTTAAATTTTTTTAACATTTTTTATTGTAAAATCTTATTTTTACCATAATCTACAAGAGAACAATATGTTTTCAATAATTTTGAAGTCTGCTTAAAAGTTTGAAGGCTTAAGTTGTTGCCAGGGCACCGTATGCAAGGGAAATAAGGAAATAAGCAGAGCAGAATGCCCAATCAGGCTAAAATGGGAAAGTACATCAAGAGCACAACCAATATTTGTATGAAAGCAAAACTGAGCACTAACGCACAGCCCAAAAGTTAGTTTCTTCGTGTTACAATTTGTGTAAATATGGTACAAGCAGAAACACCTAGATTTGATGCATAAACAGCACTTAGAACATATGGTCCACTCTTGGGGCTCATTAACACCACTCCTATTCGGCTATTAAATAGTTGGAAGCCCACACAACATACCATTAGCATGACAAGAATTAAGGCATGTTGCCTATAGATAGTGCCAAAAGGGAACAAAATGAAGTCGTTGGAAGATGTTGACTGGCAAGCAAGAGGGAGAAATTAGTTGGTACCAATTAACAATTAAGACCTTGATTCAAGGTATGCATCTAATTGCTAAGTAACTGACTTCCGATCTATCCAGATGATAGAGGAGAGATGAAATTGGAAGTCACAGCGCATATGCTAAGAATGATAGTAAAATAATGCAAAGACCAATATACCTCATGGTTAACAAAATCTTCCATCAAAGGAGAAAATAACCCCATAAATCAGCAGGTGAACACTTTAATAGGTTTATCATCATTCATGGCCAATAAGATCTCTCTCTTGGATATCTAGGGGCACAATGCCAAGGGCAAGAGAGGCATTCACATAAGATCTTCATTTTCACTCTATTGCAGACAGCATTTTCCCTGTAACAAGTTATACTAGAACAGGCAACTCCAACAACCTTTTGGTTAGAGGGAGCTGGCCTTGCTCTTCATAAGAAGAAGGGAGCAGGGCCCAGGTATCTTTGATTTGACCAAGAGTAAATTACTTGTACCAAATGTTTCCAAAGAATCAAATCAAAGATACCTGGTCACAGAGCCTTTACAAGAAGGGGTGAAAAAAAAACTAATTAAAAATCCATGTCATTCTTTGGCCAAACAGAACTTCAAGCAAAGTTTAGCAAGCGCAGGGTATCGCCTGAAAAAGCTCTAATACAAAATCCAATTCCCAATGTCCTTGACATTCAGGCAGTTAAAGGAACATCCGGGCAAACATTTGATCAATAGACCCTGCACCCTCTTATCATCCACAAACCCATTGCAATGAGTTTGGCATCTCACATTCACTTAATAAATAAAGAATTTGTAGACTGAATCACCAACATGAGCAGCACTCTAACAAGTTATACCAAATTACCAATCCTGGAGGGACCTAATCACTACCCGGTGTCCAATGGACCAATGCAAATAGAGCAGCATATCCCATGGACCAATATCACCTGTTCAGACTACAGTGTCTGCAGGCAAAGCACTTCCTCCTACAACAACTAGTTGGAAATTATTCCATCAACAAGCTATGGCATGCAACAACCAGGTTAACTCCATCTTTGTGCTAAGGAAGGAATAAAAATTTTGCTGCTTCTTTAGAATACCATAAAACCCAAGAATAATAGCTGCCTATTCTAAACAAAATATCCCACAGTGGAAAAAGACATAAATTCACACCAATTTCTGGTGTGAAGAAACTTCTAATAGACAGATCACATATTGGCCTTGTAAGCTTCATATCTCAAGAAATAAATTAGCACAGTTGACTAGAATACCCATAACAACTATATGCAAGAATGACAAATCAATGAACCAAAAAATTATAATATACATAGAAAAACATTTTATGGTAGGTAAAATGTGATTTAAGCTGTGATAAGCATATTAGCATCCTAGAGATGCAAAGACTTCCTAGAACCACAATGCAATTTAATAAAGATGCTGATAATACAAAATGATGTCCTAAGGTTAAATTTTATTAAACGAAAAACCTGATAAAATTTGTATATTTACAAGAACACTCACAAACAACTCAAAGAAACCAGCAACAGTTATTATTCAAGTTGTTAATCGGTTTACCAACAAATCAGAGCAAAGATCACCAAGCATGCTATAAAGAAAAACAGATTCTTCAAAACATTATCTGCCTGATGTCCTCGACTTGTTGGCTGGGGGAACCCGCGAACATGACCACTGTTAGATGCATTAAACCCGTAAGGAAACCCTGAAGTCGTTCCATACACAGTAGCATCTGGAAAGCCATGAAAATGAATATTAAACAAGGACGGGATCAGGCCACCAAAACCCATGGTAAAGTTACCAATCCTTGCAGTTGCCATTGGCATGAAACCCCCCCTTAATCCAAACCCATAATCAGCAAACTGATTTGTTGGAGGAGGAGGAGCTGTTTCCGGTCTTTGCCCAGCAGGGCGGTGAGGGATTTCCATCCCTGGATACGACTTAGACCGCGGGTCAGTCTGTGCATTGCCTCTGCCATAAAGAGGAACAAGTTTATCCTCTTGTATGAGGGCCTTGCAAACCGGGCATTCTTGGGAATGCGAGTGATGGTGCAACCATCTGTAAAGACAAGGCCAGCAGTAAAGATGACCACAAAGGGTGACAATCGGGTCTTGAGCCAAATCAAAGCAGATATTGCATTCAAAATCGCCCGCATCAATGGAACTACTGCCTGAGCATCTAGGGGATGGCATGCTTGTTGATTCTCCAAACCCACTTTCCATTGCTTAAATACCTAAATTACAATAACAAAAATCCAAATGAAATCAAACCCAAAAAAACAGAACGAACAATACAAATATCTAACTAATTTGTCTGAAATCCTACATCATCCAACATCGTACATCAAAAACCCCAATACATAACCATAAATCCAAATCCACCAATCAAT